AGAGAGGTTGTGGAGTCTCCTTCACTCCCAATTCTTAGGATTCTATGATACCTAGGAAAGCAATCTGCTGCTGGAGCACCCTGCTCAGCACCACGTGCCAGATCCCTCCCCAACAGAGCCACACACACACACACAGCACCGAGGAGGACTGGCTGCTTTATTGATGCTTTACAGGCAATGCCAGGGGTGAAGAGGCTGCAGTGCAGAGTGGCTGTACAGGTTCTCCAGCTGAGATCTTGAGAATGGAAAGAATTAGACTAGATAAGCTTCACTGGGACCTTTACACAGCAACACCAATGGATTTCTGACACATCCTAAGCACTAAGCTTTGCAATTTGGTTTTTTTTTTTCTTTAAAGAAACAAATCAATTAAGATTCTTATCAAAGAAGACTAGAAAACACAGATGCACACACATACACCCACCCACACGTCCTTCCCAGGCTACCTGCTCTAAGCTCTCTGCAAATCTTTTGAAGAATGTTACAGTTTTTTTTTTTATATATATATTTTTTTCAAAATGTATTTCTAAAATTTTCTATTTTAAACCTTCCCTTTCACTCCAAAAAAAAAAACCATTTACTCCCTTCTTTAAAGGACAACTAAAAGGGATGTTAAAAAGATCCTCACTCTGCACTTCTTTTTTAAATACACACTGCAAAAATATTTCTCAACTATTTCCATTCTATTAATACTGTACAGAGAAAGCTGTCAGAGTTTTGCTACATGTCACACACAGGTGGGGTTTTTTTTTCACTTAAACCTTTTCCCTTTTCATCCCACTGATGATTTGCCTTCATTTTAGGCAAGGAGATGACCCCAATCTGGCACTTGGCTCACACTCCAGTCACTAAACACAGGAGAGGAACAACTCAACTTTGTCTCCAAGAAACGATCGTGTGCTAGTAAGGCAAAAATCATGTGATGCAAACACATCCTGGATCCCTTTTTTAAGGTTATGTGCAAATATTAAGCCATCTGAGGCTGCTGATTGTGAAAACTGCTTTTTTTAGGTGCTTGTTTCCTCAGTAAATTCAGAGCACAGTCCCTGTTCCCCTTTTTGCTCTATTTATTTCCACCCGCCGGCCTGAACTCCTGGATAGCAATCAGGATAATGCAGGAACTTCATCAGGAAACACACACCTTGTACATTCATAGTTCCAAAAAAACCAGCTCAATGGTTGGCAAGTACAAACACAAAACACACCCAAAAAAAAAAAAAAAGGGGGGGAAAAGAGGGGGGAACCCTTGAGGTGTCCTGCTATGAGATGAACTTAGTCTGTACTTCTGGTTGATGATAGATGGAGACATACAACGTTCACTGACCTCTGGGCTTTTTTTTCTATATATCTCTGTGTGTATATATATATATACTTTATCTTCTCTCCAGTTCCATGCCATGGTGATGTCCAACTGGCCCCATCTACTACCTGGGCTGCCTCAGAGGAATCCTTCTCGCCACGTAGCGCTCTTGACCAGGCAGCTACAGCACTGTATGGCTTGCCACCAGCTAGTGCAGTTCAAGGGCTCCACACTGGCCTTGGTGATCATCACCTTGGAGCTGGAGAGGCTCACTCCTGATTGGTTTCCTGTTAGTATTGATCTGCTAAAGAAAAAAAAAAAGCACAGGTAGGAATCAAAGTGGTCTTGGGTCACCACTCTGGAGGGCAGGACAGGGATCAGTTCATCAGAGAGGGGATGAAACTGCCTCCAGGGTTGGGGGGAGGATCCTCCCTTTGGCAGGGATGGGAGGTTTCCAAATTTCCCTCCTGAGCAAGGGAAGATTCTCCCACGAGGGGAGAGTGGCTGAGAGCACCTAAAAACCTGCCCAGTGCATCCCCAGCCTCCCACTGAACACTGCAAAACCCTCTAGTTAGTTATGTTGCTTTTAAAATACAACCAAGTTGGCTTCTAATGATACACCAAGCTCTGCTGAGGTTTTTTAAAGCTTTTCTCCAGCCTCTTAAGAGCACATAGCTAGAAGGCCAAAGACTCAGGCTCTCTGCTTACCATGGACCCATTTTGTGGTCTTGAATTTGTCTGAAATAACCTCACCTCCTGTCCCTCCTGACTGGTGTCCCCTTCCTAAAAAGAGGGAGAGCTCACCCACCTTGTGTGTGGTAGTTCAGGAGCTCCTGGTTAAGTTCTTCCAGCCCAAATGATTTCTTGATTCTATGATTCTAAGTGTTTTACATCAGGGCCAACACATATTGCTGCTGGGCACCTACTGAGGCCCCCAAACCCTCCCCCTGATCACAGTTACAGGAGCAGTGGGCAGAAGAGAGAGGAATTTATCATGAGCTCACACCAAATCTGCATCTTTCCTTACAGGTCAGCAGCACTGAATTCACCCACTGCAGTTTTTCTCAAGGCCTTGCCCTGGAATCCAGGGTCTGAGTTCCATGCTCCTGCCTGCTGAAGCCATCAAAGATATGGCTCCTTGGCCACACCAACCCACACCTGCTGTTCAGGGGTTTGTTTTGTTTCATTTATTCTGTTTTACCAGCCTGGACAACACAAAATGCCTTGAATTAATTCCCATCACCTCCCCATGAGCTGTTATTAACTGCTAACCTCTGCAGGAAAGCTGTTTTACAAACAACAAAGGTCAGCTTAACCCCCTGTTGCCCTTTCCAAAGCCAGCCTTACACCTTCTTTGCAAATCTGGGGGGTTTTAGGGCTTTTTTTTGGGTTCTGTTTTAAACAGTAGGGCCAGCAAGCTCTGCTGATTGTTACCCTAGTTGGAAGGCATCACCCAGGCAGTGCTGGGTGAGTGACACCAGCACACATGCAGGAGGAGGTCCCTGGGGCCAGTCACAGCTCCTGTTCACAGCAAGGAGCCCCTGCCCTGCCCAGGGGTTGCCACAGGGCTCAGCACCAGCTTCTGGAGCAGAGGAGGTGCAGGAGGTGGCACACAGGGGCTCTGCCAGTTCCTCCTCCCTCCCTGTACCAGGGGGAAGGGTTTTGTCCATGGTGGGGCTCTTCCCTCCCTCAGCACAGCACCTTCCCTTCCTAGCACAAGCTGTGACCCGGCTGCCTGACTGCTGAAAGAGGCAAATTGTCTTCTGTAGATCTCTTTAAATAAAATAGAAGCTTGTTCTGCACGTTCTCAGTGTGCTCCTTGAAGGGTCCAGCCAAAAGCCAACGCCCAGAGGTGTGCATCTGGTTCTGCTTTTCCTCCCACCCCTTTGGTTCTGCTCTTCCTCCCCTCCCTTTGTCCTGTCCCAACCATCTCCACCCTCTGTGTGAACCACTGGAAATGCTAACAGAGAAATTCCACACACAGGAACTGTCACACTTCATCCACAAGAGGCATACCCTCATCTTCTTCTCCCAAGGAACAAGTGATAGGACAAGAGAAAACGGCCTCACGTTGCCCCAGGGGAGGTTGAGGTTGGACACAAGGAACAATTTCTTCCCCTGGAGGGTTGCCCAGGGCAGTGGTGGAGTCCCCACCCCTGGAGGGGTTTCCAAGCTGTGGAGATGTGGGGTGAGGGACACGGGGCAGTGGGGACCTGGCAGGGATGGGGGATGGTTGGACTGGATGATCTTAAAGGTCTCTTCCAACCAGAAGGATTCTGTGACCAACACCTTCCCCTCTGCCCAGAGCAGTAAGAGGAGGAACACAGAACACAGCCTGTGACAGCACCACGGGATCAATCCTTTCACCAGCTGAGTGCCAGAGGTGCTGGGTGACCACCCCTGCCCTGTGCCCACCCCCCAGACACGACTCTACCCGACCTGCAGCTGGCCCCTGGGACCCCCTGGCTGCACAGTGGGGACTGGTGAGACCGTGCCAGCCTCAGCTGGCACAGCAACTGCTGGCCCAGGTCTTGGGGGTTAGGGCTGGCTTTGTGAGGACTGCTCTTCTGGGGGATAATCAGTCTCTGCAGGACTCCAGAGAACACTTCCAGAGTATTTTCAAAGAGCTCTTAGGGCAGGGGAGGCTGCTCCCTCCCTCTCCCCAGGCAGGAGCACCCCACAGCTCCCCGTGCCAGGCTCCAGCCCGTGGCTGAGACGTGGCAGCAGATCTGTGCCAGCAGTGCCAGGATCCCCTCCCTGCAGGACTCCCATGGGGGGGAGGCTCACCCCTCAATCCCAGGCTCTTTTTGCTGTTGCCTCACTTCAGGCCAGATTTCCAGGTGCCTGAAGCTACCATCACCTTAGGAACAAAGCTGCAGTCACACCCCAAATCCCCTAGGGTAAATCTCCACAGAACCTGGAGAGAACTCCAGGAAGTTTCCTGGCAGACACCCCTGCAGCAGCCACCAGTGCTTCAGGGGACAACCCTGACTCCAGCACTGCTTGCTGTGGATGTGTGATGACCTTGAGGAAGAGTTCAGTTACACAGATGCACAAATGAAGAACCTTCTGTGGTCAGAGAAGCAATTAAGGTACAAGAAACCAGCAGAGAGAAGAGTAATGCAATAGTTGTTTTACCCTGTCACAGGTTTTGGATAAAACTTGCTGATATGTCAAAGAAACACAGAGAAGAGACTAACAGGAACCAGCAGCAGGATCACAGAAGGGTCTTTGAGAGCAGCCAGGAGAAACATCACCAGCCCTGGCTGCCTTGGGACCTGTATAAAGCCTGTATAGCTCATTTGTGGGGTTGCCTCTCTGCACTTGGGTTTTTTGCTTAGCAGCTTTAGTGCTTTCAGTTCAGTTTGATCAGTACTTACAGTTTGATTCTCTAAGAATGCAGAAAACTGCACTTAGACCAAGTGCTGCATTAACTCCTGCCAGGTCCCAGCAGCTCCCTCAGGTTCTTCCTCAGCAAGATGTGCACCTTGAATCCCACTGGTGACCCAACTATGGTCATGGCAAACAGAATTTTATCAAGTCTTCTGAGAAATTTGGAAGAAAAAACCTCCACACTTTTATTCCCCATTCACCTACCCAGTATAACTTGACAAGAGCTCCAAAGCAGATGAAAGCTTTGCCAAGGGAATGAGGTTGGTTTGCCTCAAAAAGAGAACACAGGCAAGTTTAAAAGAGTCACCAAAGCAGCAGCAAAGGATGTTTCATTGCTCAGCTCAGCCCGAGGGTCACAGGCTGCTCCAGCTCTCCTCCTGTTTGGGGCAGGGCACAACAGATATGAAGACAAAGCCATCCTAAGAGGGCTTCCTACTGAGGGACAGCCTGGCTGCTCCTCCCCTGGAGCCACTTCCACTGCAGGACATGGTGTGGCAGCAGGGACAAGACGTGTGGGATCAACACACTTCTCATGGGGTTTAGTCCCTCCTGTCTGCAAGCAGCAGGGCTCTCCAGAACCTCCTCGTGTGCCCAGTTTGGTTCTTCTCAGGCCACATACCTGCTCCTTGGTGAGGTTTATTTCCACATTCTAATTCAAGGGCACCCAGAGGATTTGGTGACTGCCATGGACAGCCTGGGGACAGGAGCTCAGCACCAGTCGCTGCCTCTACACCACCCTCTTGAGCTCCACAAACCTGGGTAGAGATGGAGCCCCAGCCTGCTCTGTGGAGCCTCCTGGGCTCCTGTCACACGCCCAAGCCAGGTCTGGTCCCTCTCTGGTCACACCATTCAGCACAAAGTAGGGGGACAGGGTACAAGCTTCCTTCAGCCCTCCTGGTTTTCTGTCCTCCACGGCACCAAGGTAAGTGGCAGCTTGGAGAAGGGGTGGGGGGGGCTGCTGGCAGCAGCCACCCCAGATGCATGGGGTTCAGGGGGCACATCACTCTTAAAACAGAGATCTATGAGTTAACAGGACTAACAGAGAGAAACTGGAGTACTAAAGTGAGGGCTGGGAGCTTGGACACAGCACTCGGTCGTTCCGGTGACTGTATCTAGTGTACAAAACATGGTTTTGACAGATGTTTGTTAAACAAGTCAGTTTTGTTTTTATTAAACCCAACTTTGGTACAAGCAGGTCACTCCTGAGGTTCATTTACAAGGTTGTTTGAAAACAAAGATAAACTGGGGCCTCTCCCTGTTCCTGTGTGGAGTCAGCCTGGGCCACGGGCATCACAGTTTTTCCCCCCTCTCCTTTTTTTTTTAAACAACTATTTGTGCAAGGGGAAGTCAGCCCGTTGCAAACCCAGAACTCACAACCAGGAACAGCGAGTCTCCAGCTTGGGATGGTTTCCCCTCAGAACATTTGGCTGTCCTGCAGCTTGGTTCCCTTCTCACCACCACACCCCGGGACGTGCCAGGGTCAGGACTGGTCCTGGTCCCCGGAGCAGTTCTCCAGCTTGGGATGGTTTCCCCTCAGGTGACACAGAACATTTGGCTGTCCTGCAGCATGGTTCCCTTCTCACCACCACACCCCAGGACGTGCCAGGGTCCAGACTGGTCCTGGTCCCCGGAGCAGGGGGTGGGGAGGTGGGCAGGGAGCTGTGGGTGAGGGGTTATGTTGTGAGGCACACCCAAACAAGTGAAGGGTTTTGGTTATAAAGCCTGTAAGTCTAACCAAGAGTTATTGCTACGAGAGGTGAGGGTGCAGCTGGAAGGTTAGGGGTGTGAGGGGGTTCTCCAGTTAGAGCCCGACCCCGGCGCGAGGAGAGGACGCGTGGAAGCCCCATCGTGGTGGCAGCTCTGGCAGCTCTGGCAGCTCCAAGCCCACCCCACCTCACCCTCAGCCCTGCC